CCCCCCCTTTTCTCCCCCCCCCCCCCCCCCCCCCCCCCTTATCTGAAGGTCTGGATCCGCCACTGCTACCGTACCCCAATTTCCTCAAAAAACTTTAAGGAGAGATAAGCCCTTTAAAAATGCACTTACTACCAATCTAGAGTAAGTAAAAGCACATAATATTCAAAAGAAAATGATTAGCTGCTTATCAAAAAGTACCCGAAAATGAACCAGGAAGTATAAATTATAAAACTTTGGCACATTACACATGATTACAGACATTGAATCTAAAAATTTCTAAAGGGAGAAAAGAGTACTTGTTTAAAAGTCTTATGATAGAAATATACCTTATAATCTTTTCTATGCATTTAAGATATTTTCATATATAAGCTTTAGTTCTACCTTTGCTTAATTCTTAGATTTCCACTCGTGTATTCGCCATTGGAATATCGGACTTAGGAATTTACTTATTCTCTTAGCCAATTACAATTTGACCAATAGACGTAATTAGTAAGAGATTGACACCTGTCATGGAACTATTATAAATATAGCTCATGTAATCAGAACAGTAGAGTTGATTAAAAGCATTGCCAGAACCGGTACTTCTAGTCCCTTAACATAGCGTTGCTTGTTGGTTCTCTCCTATGCTTTGAGGGTTTTTCTTCCTTCCAAAAAAAAGCAACGAACAAACGGATAAACGAACAATTGAATAAACGAATAAGCTAACAAATGGATACCCAAGTGAATAAATTAATTGAATAAATAAAGAACAATAAAACAAACTAGATTTAGTTATAAACCAGATGGCTTCTTCATGTGACTGAGATGGATTGGATGAGAGTTAGATGGGTTGGATGTGACTGAGATGGATTGGAACATACTCATTTTAGTTAAAAACCATAGGCAATAATTGTGTATGTTTTAGAACCGTTTATTTATCTGCTTCTAATTATTAACAACAATTCAATACAATTCATGAATTTTCATGCAGTTAATCTTTTCCTTGGCTTGCAGGTGCTATTTTGTGCTGTGTTTGTTCCCGGCTTTTCTTCTTCTTCTTCTTTTTGACAGTAGTACCCTCCCAAACGTGACGTAGAATCCGTGGGACAATCCTTGCACTCTTGGCTAACCAATGAGAAACGATATGTGTTGCCTCGACAACACTTCTCCTTCGTCTTTGAAGCCTTTGCTCTTCTTTCCCTTATCAACCAGACGGGAGCATGCGCAGTTTCAACTTGGCAATGAAGTATAGATTGGTTTTGGATCTTGGAGCTTTCCATTTCTTCTCCTCTATCCCCGACTGCATGGTATAGTGTATCCTCCATCTGGATAGCGTTGTTGGGAGCAGGCTTTTTCCCGGTACACTCGCAGAACTGTGGCATATCTTTGGAAGATTTCCACAGAGGCTGTAAGGGTTTGGGATTTCATCAGGACAAGTAGCTTTTCTATGTCCCTCTTGGTAGACTGTTACGTAAGAAATATGCTCTTCTGGTAACTTAAACAGCATTTCTGACTCGGCAGAGGAATAGCTACCAGCATCAGTGTCCGCTGAAATCACAATATGTATATGCGACGATGTTGTCCAACTCCTTGTTGGTGAAGACCCCATTCTCTGTATTACACGCCTCGACCGGTTTCCCATTATTTCCGTACTGAAGTTTATCACAGTAGAGCCAGGCTTGAGACTGAAGAAAAATCTGCGTCATGAAAAAGCCTCCTAAAAGCTGGTCAGCCTGTAAGAAATCACCGTCTTCTTTCTGGATGGAGATGGACAATTTTTTAGCGACGTTTCCTCGTATGACTCTTGCAAGAACATCCATGAGATCGAATTGAAAATCAAAAATATCCTCTCTCAAGGCACTAAACTCCGCTATTGTTCCCCTCAACTTTTCGCATAACAGAAATCCACCGGCTACACCCTTTGCGATGTTTGCGGGCATTCCCTCGACTCCGTTTAGCAAGTCGCACGTGGACTCTTGGAAAGCTCCCCACATCTCAATGTTCTTGGCTAAACGGCTTCGATCTACCTTAGGTGTATAATTATTATACTCTTCAATGAACTGGTATGCATCATCGTCTATCGTGATTGCCTCGTTTTTCTTGATCTTCTCGACTAATTCAATGCGGGTTTTGATNGACTGCATGGTATAGTGTATCCTCCATCTGGATAGCGTTGTTGGGAGCAGGCTTTTTCCCGGTACACTCGCAGAACTGTGGCATATCTTTGGAAGATTTCCACAGAGGCTGTAAGGGTTTGGGATTTCATCAGGACAAGTAGCTTTTCTATGTCCCTCTTGGTAGACTGTTACGTAAGAAATATGCTCTTCTGGTAACTTAAACAGCATTTCTGACTCGGCAGAGGAATAGCTACCAGCATCAGTGTCCGCTGAAATCACAATATGTATATGCGACGATGTTGTCCAACTCCTTGTTGGTGAAGACCCCATTCTCTGTATTACACGCCTCGACCGGTTTCCCATTATTTCCGTACTGAAGTTTATCACAGTAGAGCCAGGCTTGAGACTGAAGAAAAATCTGCGTCATGAAAAAGCCTCCTAAAAGCTGGTCAGCCTGTAAGAAATCACCGTCTTCTTTCTGGATGGAGATGGACAATTTTTTAGCGACGTTTCCTCGTATGACTCTTGCAAGAACATCCATGAGATCGAATTGAAAATCAAAAATATCCTCTCTCAAGGCACTAAACTCCGCTATTGTTCCCCTCAACTTTTCGCATAACAGAAATCCACCGGCTACACCCTTTGCGATGTTTGCGGGCATTCCCTCGACTCCGTTTAGCAAGTCGCACGTGGACTCTTGGAAAGCTCCCCACATCTCAATGTTCTTGGCTAAACGGCTTCGATCTACCTTAGGTGTATAATTATTATACTCTTCAATGAACTGGTATGCATCATCGTCTATCGTGATTGCCTCGTTTTTCTTGATCTTCTCGACTAATTCAATGCGGGTTTTGATTTGTTCTTGATTGTCCTCCAAAGCAGTTGTTATATCACGGGCGTCGTTTCCAAGGTCGACTAACTTCACAGCCAGTGTAATACCTTTTGCCAAGTTCGCAGAAGCTTGGCCTAGCTCATCTGTAGCTTCCTTTATTCCAGCGGCATCAGCACCAGCAAAGATCATCTTAACAGGATTCGATTCCAACAAGATCTTAGCGACGAGTGACGCTACTTTATCGGCAACTTCGATTCCTAAAATGGTATTCGTGACATCTAATATACCTTTCATATCTTCATTCAATTTTTTTTCAATCTTTCCATACGAATCTTTAAATTCGTCAAGTTTGGTGGTTATGAAGGCTTGATCTGGGTCAGCTATTCCTTCGTCGAACTTAGCGACGCCTTTAAAGTATTCCGAAATCCCCTTGACCTCAGCTCGTAGATTCTCATCCAGTCGATCTATGGCACTTAGCAATTCAAAATGCTTGATTGCGCTTTTCTTCAATTCAATTATTTTGGCGTTATCTGTGTTCTTATACGGCCTAAGATCTCGAGTGCCCTCTACCTTGAGTCTGTCGTTCTTCATTTTATTGAGGAGTAGATACTGCGGGTAAAAGTTCGCGATCTGGCAAGCAGGAATGGCGTTGATGGCTTTGCATGCGTATGGCGCAACACGGAATTCGTCTTCATGTTCACTGACAATCTTCAGAGCAGCAATGACGTTCGAGTATGCATTATGACTCACCGCGTGGGTGTAAAATTTATTGTATGGTTTATCCGCTCGCATGCCGATAAAGGCATTCATCAAATCAATTTGTTTAAAAATGTCTTTGAATTCGCCTTCAATGTCGCATGCCCCTCCCGGACACCGCTCACTGCAGAATTTATCAACAACCAAGAAATAGACTTTATAGATTATAACTCCAAGCATCATTAGCAGGGCTTTTTTGACATTACATTTGTTATTTATATCAGTACATGCATTCGCTTTGCTCCCGTGGGGTGAGGTTGCGCACTCGTGTAGCTTGGGACAAACGTCTTTTACCACCAGTTTTGGGTAACTACGGGGTGGTAGGCGCGAACACACTCTTTCCAGTGGTAATTTGTAGTCATCAACCAAAGGTCCTCCATTGTCGGATTTCTCCTCATCAACATCGCGTTTAATAGCATTTTTCAAAGCGAGAAACTGGGTGTTATAAAAATCTTCAAGGGTAGGACTATCTATGAAATTCTTTTTCATCTTATTAACTACAACATCTTTCTCTTCCTCGAATATAGAACCTATGACGTCGAGGTTGAAGTGTTCTTCTGTTTATCAAGTTGCGTTTTAAGAAAGAACGAGCGATGCTCCTCAATTGCTTCTGCAAGAGTAAGAGCTAACATCAGGGGCACTCATCAGGGGCACTCTGGAATTGTTCCTGCTATTCGAAACGATTCAAACATCACACC